CAAACCAGGTAACCAATTATCTCGTTCAGGTCGAACTTGCCAAGCGAAAAGGAGATCCAGTCCCCGAAACATGGGGTGTAGCCAAAGGCGGAAAGGTCTCTACCAACGCAGAAGAGATTATCACCGGTGGAGGTCTTCTACCAGTTGGAGGCGGTGAACTTAGCGGTAAGTACTGATTCAACAGGAATTCAAAGTACTGCTAAACCAAAAGCGATACTCTGAGGTTCAGGCGGTTACAAGGGCTATGGATTGGGTTCTGTTGTGGAGATCTTCTGTGGTATTCTGAGCGGTTCACATTGGGGCCCAAATGTTCGAAAATGGATGGCGGCTACAACAGAAGCTGATCTCGTTTGTTTTGCTATCTTAGATGATCATAAGGTAGCGTGAGAGTCTGAAAACTTTCTTTCAGGGCCAAGTCTTCTTAGCGATTGATCCTGAGGCATTTGCACCAGGGTTTAGAGACAGGCTCCAGCAGTTGATAAATACTCTAAGAGAGCTACCTCATGTTAGTTTGGAGCCATTTTCATGTGATTATTGTGAGGTTTTCATAAAAATATATCGGGGCCACTTGGTCTAGACGACGCTTTGCAGGGTACTGAGCAGTTCCGAGGCAGACCTGGTCATGGCTATACCTCTTGAATTCACTCTGTAGGACTCCGTGAAGACCTCTCTTTCTCCAATATTCGATATCCTTCCTCTTGCACTGGCGGAGAAGGTGGTTGAAGTAGATGACATCGAGAGGGTCGACAAGGAGGGCCGCGTTGGAGCTAAAGTGGGAGTGCATTTGCAGTTGGAGAAGGTTCTTTTCACATTCCCTTGTTATACTTCGCTTAGAGAGCTAGGGTAAGCAAAGTAAGATCGCATACAATACGCGCTGTACTGACCGTACTCATGGACTAGATATTAGAACTCGGCCCTCTTTTGGGAAATTGGAATCTGACCTGCACTTGGGCAGGCTCCCAAAAACCCACATTGTAAAGCTCACTTCGACTTTCAAGTATGCCCAGTGGCATATTCCAAACGAGATAGGTCAATATTCAAACATTACTCTCTTACTGTTTACATTCATGTTGAACGATCAAATGTTAGAGCCCCATTTTAAGGGATTCTCATTCGATCGCACCCAAACCACCTGAGGCATCCAGTGATTGCAGGTCGATCCATCTCTGAAAGTGTTGATACCTGGTGATAAGGAGAGAAAGCATGAGAAGCTTGTGAAGGATCTTGGCGGAATTCCCTATCATCCGAATCAGATAAAGAATGCTGTGAGTTGAATGTTTTTGCTATTAAGAGTGCTGTCAAGGAATCTGTCAGGTTTTTTCAATTTCATACATCTCATTCCCTTGGGAGGGA